TGTTTTTTGGTTATCCGTGGATTAGCTAAATTATGTTTTCAACTGGCTGTCTTTTGCTTTTGTGTGCAGCTGAAATCGGTTAGATGTTCTGGAAAATTTGAGCTCTTTAGAGTGGGATTATAGGCCACATAAAAAACACTAATTAGTCTCTTTGTACCGGGACTATATATTTCTATGTTATCACTTTTGCTTGGTAGTTTAAACACCATCGGTCACTTGATACTTCATCCTTGTTTGAATGGGCAAACACTTTTCTATTTATTTCTTGCACGTATCATTTGCAAGAGCTCCTGCTTCACTTTGTTTACTTATTTAAATCAGTTTTTGAATCTTCTTTCCACCTTTAGATTAGAAACGTTAACCATGGACGTGGAATCTATTTATTCGTCCATTGTCTATGCTGAATATTTGTCCCAAAACTTTAGAAACTCTTTTTTTTGGTTGCCTAAGGTACATGTGGATTGTCAGTGATGCTTAAAAGATAGGTTCCTAGGCCATCTTCATTTCCATATGCCATTTTGTTGGGAGCTTATTAACTTAAAATGTGTTTCAACCCTTTTTAGCTTAGATACTGAGCGTTTTTTTTAACCTTCTGTATCGGAGCACATTATTGATGCACGTAAATTGAATCTTTATATTGGGCCTTGTAATCCAACCATTATCAATCAACCTTATTTGTTTGTTCTAGTTTAACTCTGTGTTGGCGTTTCCCCCCTCTTATGGTGTGGATTTTTGTGCGTTTGATTTAACGTGGTCAATAGTTTTTGACAACGTTTCATTCTGAACATTTGAAGCCTGGGTAGATTATGTGGCAGTTTACTGCTGTTCCATCGGCCATGTGAAATTTTGGTTCCAAGATACCTTACAGCATAGTAATGAACGATCCACTAGGTACACACGCTTGGAGTATTCGACTTGTTAGTGACATACTGCAGATTCAGGTTTCGTAGTTCATTAGCAGTCAATGGTGTGATTTTTTCCTACTAATTTATGTGCTTTTGAGGTGTTGATATAGTCTAGTATTTTCTTGCTTTGCTGTTGCTGTTGCTGCCACCTATCTTTTTATGTTAAAAAAAGAGCAGATGAATCCTCAACCTTTTGTGTCTTTTTTAAACTTTTTTATGTAAATTTGTTCATGCTTGTTTTGATATTTGGCCATGGTCATTCATTAAATATAGATCAGGTTCACACTGAAGATCTACTTGAGTAGTTTCCTCCTGATACTGGTTCGTGAAACATGTTTGAACATTTCTTTATCGTTAAATTGATATGTAGACGGTTTCTTTGCAGTACTCAACAATATTAACTAGTCAGAGAGCATACGTGACCTTGGAGCTGTCAGGTCTGTATCCATAAAGCTTTGAATGTTGTATTATGTTGTGAAGATTATTTTGGCTGTCAAAAAAAAAGAGAGGATATTTTTGCTTGCAAACGTCGTCGTTATGAGTGTTGATATTGAGCGTGTTGTAATTGTGCTTGTGTATTAGTCTCGCGCTTATGTTCTTTGAATTGTGCTTGGACTGTGCTGCTGTTGAGGGAACGTTAATGTTTTGGACTGTACACTTGTGGTAATGATACCGTAAATGTAAACATGTGAAGTTTTATAGTGTCTACCAATCCAAAGCGTATGGATTTTTTTCCCACTTATCTTTGGCCGGTTATTGAGAGTTGCTCTCAATTCCCCCCCTGCCCCGCCGCCGCTCTTTTGGGTTCTGTAATTTGCAATGACCTGATCTAATCTACTATTACAGGTGTGATGCGTGTTCCTTATGAGATACAGAACTTACGAGTATGTACATATGAAGCCACTTATGTTGCTCGCTGCATCATTATAATTACCATAAATGTTGATCTTTTTGCTAAGGGATCAAACTGATTTCGATTATAATCCATCTGATGTGCTTTTTATGTGGCCGGGATCTTGAACTGCTTTACAGTCGCATGGTATCCATATGATGATGCTGATGTATATCAAAACATTTGTTGGGAGTTCTCGTTGGCAGGGAGTTTGGTGGCTGACCGTACTCGTGGTTCTTGAGAATCCTCTCTCGCTTGGCATCGATCGGACGGTTCGCTGTGATACGCAGGGGTCTTCCTCAGATTCAAGGCAGTTATTGTGATTAATACGTGATTTATTTGTGACAATAGTATATTTACGATATGAAATAAGTCGCCTCTACCCAAAGCTTACACTTTTATGTTAACGCAAGTGATGAATTGTATTTCTATCCATAATTAGTCACCTCCCTTCCCCCAAATTCCCAATCAAATTAAAGCAACGAATGTAAAGAAAGGGTCTGGGCAGGTTAAGTAACTCAAGGTTGAAGTTTAAACAATTTTAAAAGAAAAAAAAAAATCCACTATAAAGAGTTCCAATAGGAAATATTCGCTCCAAATCAAAACGTAGCAAACTAGATTACGTACGGATCCTTTACATTTTTTATTGTAGAGATTCTCTACAACTCCAACCAATACTCTTTATTTAAAGTTAAATCCTACAACATGAAGCAATCAAATAAAATATTAATTGCAATTAGATGAGATATAAGATTTTAAAATATAAATAAAATAATTGTAAGAATCTAAATATTTATTTCTAGAATAATCTTAACAACCCATTAGAATTTCAATCTAATTATAAGAAAAAAAAATCATAGAAAGCAAGGAGAATTCCAAATAATAGTTGGGGTAGTTTGCGTAATTGATTTGGTTATTTTATGCAGGATTACAGAGAATATTTGCAAGAGGAAATTTTTTAATTTTATAGATTTTTATATGTTATATGTTTTTTTTATGGTGTCTTGTATTCTATTAATATTTTAAAGAGACACAGATGAAACACTAACCCCTCTTTATAAAAACCAGTAAAGATAGGATTTAAAATAATAAATAATAAAAAATGATCAAGTCATCATTTATATTTTAAGAGAGTGTTTGGTTCAATTTCTACAAATTATATGAAATGTTTTCCACCTAAAATATGATTTTCTTGTATTTCTTAAAAAATTTGTAGGAAAATTTTTGAGAAGTCAAAAAGTATCAATTTTCTTTTTTTTACTTTGCTTGTTTGGTTCAAAACAAGAAAATGGTCTATAACTTTATAGAAAATAGCAAGATTTTCTATAATTTGTAGAAATTGAACCAAACACCCCCTAAATTTATAGAAAAATATCAATTTTATAGAAAAGTGTCAATGTGGTGTCAGATTTCTGGGTGATTTCCGTTCATTTTGAGAGTAAATTGGTTTCTATAAATTTTGGTATTTTTTGTAATTTACAGAAAACATTTCTATAAATTTTTTTGAACCAAACACGGTTTACGAAAATCTACAGAAAAATTTTAATTACAGAATTATCATTGTCAAACATTTTGAGAAAACTTTTCTATAAAATTGTGCAACCAAACACTCCCTAAGATGAAAACTAATCTATCAACTTTAAATATAAATTGACACATGTGTAAGTTTGCTAATATGATTTAAGAGTTGATTTTAGAAACCCCCTCAACTACTGTGGATGTTGTAGAAAAACCCCCTCAACTATTTTTATTTGAGAAAATTCCTCATGTTTGAGCATATTATAGATAAGCCCACTCAACTATGAAAATTAGAGAATACCCCCTCAACTATGGGGTTTCTCACACCCCCTCCCCCAACCCACAATTTTTCATAAGTTTATCATCAAACTCCCAGTGACATCATTTCAAAGTGTAAAATTACTGAAAAATCCTTTTAAAAATCAACTCATGCAGTAACCCCCCCCCCCCAAACGGATAAAAAAAGATATTGATCATTTACAATGCTTTTTCCTCTTTCTCATCTCTTTCTCTTATCTTAAAATATCAAAGTAAATTCTCATGACTGAGGGCTATTTTGCTCTTTTCTCAATCACCTACTGTCATGTGATATGCTAGAACTAACAGTTTTAGCTTGCAGGGTGTAAATTGAAAATGATTCATTGAGGTTTCTCGAATTTTCAATCTTGAGATGGTTTATCTACAGTAAGCTCAAACTTAAAGGGGGGTTCTCAAATTAAATAGTTGAGAGGTTTTTTTTGAGATACTCCACATATTTGAGGAGGATTAAGTGAGAAAGGTTTGTGGAAGTTATCTTAAATTTTCATAAATGGAAGGGGTTATTTATAATATGCTCAAACTTGAGGGAGTTTTCTCAAATTAAAATAGTTAAGGAGGGTTTTTTACGTAGAGATGCTCTCTCTATATAAGGTTAATCCCTTTAATTTTTATATTTTACTATATAATTAAGTATTTTTTTAATTATATATAGTTATAACCTGACAAGAATTGCAAAATATTTGATTATTAGAATTTTCTAATTACGGATAGTTTTAATTTGATGAGAATTTTCATAGAGAGATACATGGGTATTGACACTTGTTAATTTTTTGTGTATTTATGATATAACACATGTTAAATTTTTGTGTATTTAGGAGTTCCACCAATTTCTTTTTATATATAAAATAGTGATAATATAAAATTTAATTGCGGAACTCACTAAGATAAATCAATAGTATTAGTCTATTTAAACCAATTGTAGGCATTCTCTACAACCAAGAGAATTCACACCCAAACTAGGAGAAGATATCAAGTCCATAACACTAAAAGTGCACTTAATGAATGTCAACTATTAGATCTATACACAATCTCGATGCCTAATGATTTAATGATTGACATCTATTTGGGCACATTTAAAACACCTGAGATTATTTGGTACTTCCTCCTAGACTAGGTTAGACTAATTTGAAACCCCTGATACAATGGTTTGAGGGATTAATTTCAAAATAGTAAGATTTAGAGGACCAACATCGAAAAAACCTGAAAAACCAAAACCTCAAGAGATCGATTGATCTCCGGTCTCCATCCTCTCTCGGTCGATCAATGGAAGCGACCGAGCGCTGCGTTAGGGTTTTGTGCCCTAAAAGGAAACTGCTGCCACGCTCAAAGGACGAGTCTACAGTTCTCCAGTGGCTGATCGGATCTCCTCTCTTCCTTCCTCCGCTCACTGTAATCTCCTCGTTCCGATGCCTTCACTTCCTCGACAATGGCGATCCCGATCTCCAAAAGGAAGCAGGTTTGCTTCTTTCTCAATCTATTCCTTGAAATTGGCAATTGAATTGGGAAAATAGCTGAAATTTGATAGTACGGTTACTATCCGGTCAAAATCCGCTCATTGCCCCCTTTTGTGCAGTTGAAATGGATCTTGAGAACAGGGACAAGGTTTGGTGATGGAGAATTTATAACTTCTTCTCTTGGAGTGAGCGTAGGTTGAGGGAATGACAATGTAGGAAACATATTTTGCACCTGTATTCTACAGAATTTCAAGAAAACGCAGAAAAGGTGATCAAAATTTGCAAAGATATGCAATTTTTTCCGGAGAAACGTGTCTAATAGGGGAAACTATGTTAATGAAAGCAGAGTTATAAGTAAGCTGTCTTCGAATTTAGCAACTGAACTTTTGTTTTATGATTATCGTGATTCATGAAGGGGAGGGAGTATTCAATTTTAGTTATGAATTGGGCTTTGGAATTCAAGATTGGGTAGTTGTCAATAATTTATGTTATGCGGTATTCAATATGAATATGCAGGACAATCAATACATATCTTACATGTATTGGTATCAGTTCAGTGTGTCTTATGATAAGTATACCTTATGATATGATTCATATATTACAACATATATAGTATGTTATGATATCCTAAGTTTTCAGACCATTTAGAATGAATTTTAGATCCTGTTTGTGGCTGCAAGTTTCAGTATCAGTCTTCCATTTTGAACAAAAGAGATCATGTATGGCATGTTTAGTCGATCAGAACATAAAAATGTATCATCATGCCCAGTTTTTTTCTCTACTCACGACAGAAGACAACCATTTACGGACTCCTATTCAAATAGGCAAGTTGGTGACATTGGCGTTTAATTGTTATATTCCACGAGGATAGATAAATCTTAGGCTAATAAGACAAAATGCTATTACTTTCGTCATTACAAGCTACGACTAGAAACGACATAATGAAGAGAGAAGATATTGGACATAAGATCAGATTTGCTTATTGCAGATGAAATCAATATCAGTGGACAAGGAAAGGGGGGCATTGTCAACTGAAAGTGAGTTTAGAATCTTACATATCCACAAATGTTTTGGCTTGAAAGAGAACCAAGCATTACTTAAAGAAAAACAAGGAGATATGATTATTAGTCTTTAGTGAACTTTAATCATTTGACTGTTAATTCTCAAATTTTGATTACTTTAATCATTTGACTGTTAATTCTCAAATTTTGATTATCTCATAAGCTTTTTTTCTGCTTATGTCAGTTAACAATTGGACTTTGAAACGTTGAACATCATCGTTGAAATGGAAAGAGAAAGACTGTTGTCGAGTAAAGGAATTTGTAGAGAGTAAAGAAGAAGATAATAAAAAACAATAAGTCATCCTTGAAGGTGTTAAATTGTGATGGATCTTGTGGAGATGATAAGTGGTGATGATCTTTTGGAGATAATTGAGTGATGACAGATTGACGTCTTTTGTCATTAAGTTGATTATGTATGTATGTACATACGTGTGCGTGCTTGCATGTATGTATGTGTGCATGTACATGCATATGTATGTATGCACTAGGTATAGGCTGACAGCGCATTTTAAAAATGCATTGTCAAGCCATTGACTTGTGAGCCCCTTGTTCAGCACCGATGTGATTAGCAGGAGGCTCACAAGCCCCTATCTCTTGCCAGCCCATTTTCTTAAATGGGATGTCAGCCTATTCTCATTCCCCCCTCCCCCGCGTGCGTGCGCGCGCACACACATATCATAGTGCACACACACATAAGTACATACTGCATAAAGCTTTTGTAAACTTAAGTGGATAGAAGCTTTGTTCCATCAAAATTTTTATCCATCGACTTTGCTTCGATATTCATACTACACATCAAAGCTATCTTTTAGATATGTGTCTTGATGTGTATCCCATGCTAGACGAGTCTCAAAGCAAAATCAATGAATAATAAAGTTGGTGGACAAGAACTCTTATCGACTTAAGTTTACAAGAGCTTTAACTCTATATATCCCTCTCCAAGCCAATGTTAAATGAAATATGGTGTATATTTTTGCATTAATATTTCCATTTTCCTTCAATTGACTTTCTTTCTTCTATGTACAACTTTAGCATGCTCTCTCTATGAAGTTTTCTTACTTCTCTAAACTGTCGTTCAGTTGGAAGGGAAAATTTTATATTTGGATTGTGCATCCTTAACTTCTTAACTTAATTTTGTGAAATCTTCAACTCACATTGTTTTATTGAACTTTAGGCTCAAGGATTTTATAGGAACTCGTTCCTCCTTACCTTCCCCCTATTCTTTTAGGGATGTAGGCTAAATGATATACCCTTCTTATACCCCTTTATAGAATCTTTCAGATCTAAAATGTAGTTATGGTAAAAAAAATTTTAATACAAATGATGATATTTGGATTTGATTTTTTAACAGACAGTTTTGTATTGGGTTTCTAAAGAGATTTAGTGCACAAATTTATTGATTCAAAGGTGTAACAAAAATGGAAAAGATGGTGGGTGGGAGAGATTTTTTTTGAAGGTTATGTAGTAAACCCTAACACTAATTGTAGAAGTTAATGAAAAATATTTTGCTTGTCTGTAGTTGTAGAAAGGTTTGTTACAGGAACCATCGACATTTTCCTAAGCAGTGTATAGAATCATGTAAACCCCCACAAAAGTAAATGATAAAGGCCTACAGTTAACAAATTTTATTTTATGTACTTCTAGTTTTATTTATCTACTTACTCAAATCCATATGAAATTTCTTTTTCATTCTAATGAACCCAAATGCAACTATCATCCTTATGTTAATGATTGTTTTGTTTAATTTATATTGTATTACTTTATGTTGATTAACTTGTCTGCATTTTGCTTGAACCAGATGATATTAGGACATTACTGCTAAGAGGATTTGATATAGTAGGAGCATTGTATCTTGGTACTGGTGCATGGGAGGAGAAAGCTGGTAAAGCAGTAGAGTTCTCTTGGCAACTAAGGAAGTATATTTCTAAGGAGGAAACTTACAACATGCTTGGAGCGACATTCGATTTCAATTCTGGTGATATACTATTTGCCTCTAAAATTGCAAAATCCAAGAAAATCGAAGCTTTCAGTTGTGTTATTTATGAAGATACTGCGGATGAATATCTGTGGGAAAAAGGTTGCCTTCTTAGATGCGAGATGGCATTTAAGTTACCTGTCTATGTTCCTGTTGATAAAACATCAGGTATTTTTTATTTTGTCTAGTTAATTTAAGCTGTTTATGTCTATTATATATGAATAATACTTATTAGATTCTTCCGTTGAGCCCTACCAAAATATTAACAATCTAAATAATTGTATTGTAGGTATTGTAGGTATATAACATTTTATAAAATTAACTAACACATTAATCGTTGAGGTGACAAACACAACAGACTAAACTAGGAAATTTTTTGTGTACAATCATAGTGACTATATTTTTTATTCGGTACGGTGTCTTTTTTCCATTTTAGAAAGATTGTTAATAATTAAGATTTTGATGTTGGAGAACAATATGCTATATTATTTGGGGTCTTTCTTAGGAATCTTGGTTAGAAATAATCTTGGCTCCACGTTGTTTCTCACAGCTTCCGAATATAGTTTAGTATTCCTTTTCATAATTAGAATCTCATAGGTTTTTCCCCTTATGTTGAACTCCCCTTGTCTATAAGAGGGAAATTATTGAATCATATCATTGTTATTGAAAACTTGTTAAAGAAGCTCATATTAGATTCGTTGAAATAGTTTCTTTCTCCTTCCATGGATAAGATATTTAATTGTCAAGTTCCTGTTGGTGCCTCCATCCGTAAAAACCCGGTTTGCACATGTTTGATTTTCTTTGTCTTAGTCTTTTTGTCCACTAAACTCTTCACCTTCTCGCGAATGCAATTTCCAATATTAGTTGACCATATTTTAGAAGTGGTCTTAAAACGAATACTTTCTGCTCATCAGTTTATCTTTCTATGTGATCTCTTCTCATGTCTACATATTCATACTATTATCTTAAGTCATACTTCCATCGCAAACTGCATTAATCATCTAACTGCTGTTGTAATCACTTTACCTCCATTTTTTTCATCACTGTTGAAGAAGAAAACTCCACCAATGAAGAAGTGCTGCGGCAACTCTGCACATCCAAGCTTCTTGATCTAATATCAATTCCACAGTTAGTGCTTCGCCACCACAATGAATAATGGTGGATCACCTGTCTTCCTTGCAGCTGCTTCCGACTAAGCTGCAATCGAGAGCAATTATTTTGTTCTTACTAGCATCACTCATCCTGCAACTTCACTGCTTTCTTCACAATGCATATCACCCCTACCAATTTGTTTATGTAACAACAGAACGAGTTATAGCCTTCCAGCCAGATTACCCCCGGCAATTGTTTCTTCACATCTTAACAAGCTAATGACATCTGATTGAGATCAAGTTGAAGGCACACATAAGTTCCAATTGTGTCTAACGGATGAGAATGTAAAGTTGCAGAGAAGACTGCAACGAGACTGTGGCTGAAGTTATAAAGTTTTTATGTGTCAAAGTCTCTAACTAATAAGCTATATCTAAAATAACGCCTATTCTCCCTTTGTATAAAGTAAGGCACTCTTCTAAAAGAACGTCTGGAAGGCCTGAATACTATTTGATTGATGTGAAGAATGTCGATGTTAAAGTAGATGATGTAGATGCTGCCCTAATTCACCTATGCTCTTTACCACCATGCTGTATTATTGATCCTTCCTTTCTTCATGTGTTCATCCAGGAAATCCTTTTAACTTATTTTATTGTTGTCGTATCTATAGCAACAACAAATATTCATGCAAGCCTAATCACCAACTCATTATGTAATTCTATTTGATATCTGACTTCAGTTTTATGCAATAAATCTTGAATAGGATGATATTTTTTAGCAGATAGGAAATACTATCAATTGTTGGATGCAACAGGATTAGGTTTAAAAAAAAACAAAAGTGAGTTGAGTTAGTTGATTATTCAAGAACAAATCTGAGGATTTATGAGATCTTAGCAAAAATGTGGTTACATGGATAATGAGAAATATCTTGTTTATATATTTCCAAATAGATGTCTTTTCTTGAATTATTGCACCTATAATGATTTTTAAACTTATATTATTATCTGCAAGGAAAACTTATTTTAATTATATATCTGAAATTTCAGATGATGTGTATTTTTGGAAATTTGGAAAGTATGTAAACTAGTCCTGTAGAAAAACTTAGGGTAGTTGAACTCAAAAGCTTATATCATTAAGCTATTTTCAGTTGTATTAGTTCTCTTGTTACGAATTAAGTTTGCATTCCTCCTGCATTTGAAAGGTAGTGGGAGTTACTCTTGATGTTAGTAAAATTATTCACTATTTAATTGTTACCTTTTCTGTATGAGCTTCAGACCTTTTGATTAATGAAACTTCTTACTTGTTTGCAATTTTGAAACTCATGACTGCATCTTTATGTTTCTCAGATTTCAAAGAAGTCTTTTCTTTATCGACTATTGCTGCTGCCACTAAGTTAAAAGACACTCATGTTGCATATCTGGTTGAAGGGACAAATGTTTATTCAAAGGAAGAACCACATTCCATTGTTTTGCATGGCGCGGACTTAGATTTTAGTGCTTCTGCCTGTGATCGAAAAGCTTTTAACAATGTTACGGAGTCGAATGAGAAGGATTTAGCATGCTCAGTTTTCTGTTCAAAAAGTAAATTCATTTCCTCTTCTTCTTCCAAAGAGGTTTGTCAAATATCTTGCTTATATCCTAGTATTCTTGTCTTTCCTTCTTCAACAGTTCAGATAAGTCTTAATTCCAAAAAGTACTAATTTAATTGTAATTGAATGTTTTTCACCATGAGTCTGTATAATGTCTCTGTCGTATATATGCCATTCTCTATGTCATATTGGATCCGGAGATGTAGGAATAAGATCACTACCCTCTTTCTGTAATACCAAAATTTCCTCTTTTATCTCGAACTGTTTTGTAATGTTTTTATGGATGGGTATAATCTCTATTATTATAGCTCTGTGATGCTATTATCTATCGGATGAAATTTTATATTACTGATAGTTTACTTGCATAGAATGCAGATGCAATCCAAATAACTGTCCTATCCAATAAATCTAGAAGCAATTCAGAATCTGGTGCACCAAGAACACAATATTTACCAGGTATCATTTTACTTTGATTTTTCTGTATGAACTAGCATAGCAAAGGCTGCTATTTTTAATAATAAGTCATTTTCATTTATAATGAATTACCTTACTTCAGCATCAGATCCAGCAAGGTTCTTCATAGTTAATTTTAAGCTAGATGTGTTGTGCTATGCTTCAAAAGATTTTCCCGTCGCTGCTGCAATTTCCAGACTGGTTGTGCCTGGATTAACTGACCAGATTGTCAGTATGGAAAAGGTTTTTGTGCAGAAGCTTTCGAGCGAGCATCAGGTATTCTAAACCCTTAGTCCATGTTTGGATTAGGGACTCTTTTTTATCCCCAGACTAGTTTAACTCACTGTAGTCCTAGGATGTGATAATCCGGAAGACTAGAGTGAGTTAATTTTTTAGTAATTCGTTTGGTTTGACTTGTTATTAACAGTGTGTTAAAAATTGACCCATTTCTATTTATCGTGGATATATCGGGTATTCGGGTTTGGGCCGTGACCAATATGATTTTTGCAAAAAATTGTCGCAATTGTTTTAGCCGATTTTTCCCGATATATCGGTGTAAATCTGATAAAACAGCTGATTTTTCACGGGCTAAAAATTGCCTGATTTTCTATAACTTACACTCTAAATGAACTAGTTTGGGTTCAGAGAAACCCTCTTTTTTCCATACATGACTGACATTCACTATACAAAAATAATGTTATCCTATTCTATTCCGCATCCACTAAACAAAAACAATTGGTGAGTGATCCTAAACATGTGTTGTTTGTATATTAGTATGTTTATATTTCATTAAATGTGCTTAGATTACATTTTAGGACATTAGATTATAAATGCTTACCGTCCGATATGACACTCTAATTTTTTACTACTTATCCTCAATATAATTGGGGTATGATATGAATTTTGGTCATTCGATATATTTTTGGTAACCGATATTAAAATCTTGGTTATTAGCACCCTTAATGCCAATGCCATGTTTGAGAACTTTCATTATAAACCATTGTTTGAGAACTTTCATTATAAAGGGGTATAAAGACTAGGATATAACTGCAAATGTCCATATTGCACTTGTGCCTACCAGCTAAGTATGAGTTTGGTCAATTGGCACAATTATTTGGTTTCAGATGATAAGTTTTTGTCAATCGACAAATAACACTTATTTGGGTTCAAATTATAATTTTTTGTCAACGGGCTTCCAACTTTGTCTCTTTCACATGTTCAACTTCCATGAGTTTGAAGAAAACACATTCATATAGTTTGGGCCAAATTTAGGGTCTAAATGTTAGATGATAGAGTTATTGATAATGGGTACGCGTCATTCAACAAATGCATTCAATAAAATTGAGATGCAAAAAAGTGATAGCCATAGGATGCTTGCCTTATAGTTGCCTTACAGTAGGGAACTTGACTCTCAACATTGTCCGAGCGTAAGATTTTTTTTTCATTGGTATCCTTTGATGAAAGAAGCAGGTGAGTGATAAAATATATTTCCTTGGAAATTTTTGGAAAGTTAAGGGGTAATAGGTTTTTTTTAAATTAATCCTGTGTGGTAAACAATCCATGGACTACAATAACACCCATCGTCCTCCCATTGTTTAATTTGAAATCTCTGGACTATAGCTGCGTGGAACCCGATTTGTTCGGGTTCACAGAATGGTAACGGGAGCATGGTATGCCACTTATTTGGAATTGGGTAAAGAGGGTTAGGTATATATGGTACGTTAGGGAATGTTGTATGCTCTAGGTTTGGTTTTTAATTGTAGGAATCTGAGTGCCTTAATGTACAATTTTATTCAAGAGTCAAATTCAAGGATCAATAATGATAAAAGAATTCTCGAGTTGCAATTATGGTATGCTTTTTGTTGTTTATTTTCTTGAAAATGATTGTTCTGTCCCAAAATATTGACTCATTTAAATTCTAAATAGGGTCGCCGGATGCGCACCCAATTCGCTAGTGTACCGTGTTCCAGGACGATTGAACCCGAGTTCGTGGTTCACTATAACGTCCCACGCAATGTTGAAAATAATGATAACACATAATGTAATGCTCTACCTCCTGTTAAGAGTTAAAAGAAAATACGGCCTTAAATTTTAAAGGAATAAAGGATTAAGGCTTATTAACTCAATACAATACCCAATCCAAATACGGCCTTAACTTTTAGTATGTGTAGTGTTCTTGATTGAAAAATGCTAATGCCTGAGGTGTTATTTTCTTGTTGAATAAACTTCTGTTTCCTGCATCTTCCAAGTGGTATCTGTGTCTGACATAATATGCTGGTTTATACATAGTTGCAGGATATTTTTTTGGAATAAAAAAAATGAAGAATTGAACATTTCCTAATTCCTCTGAACTGATAATCTAATACGTGGTACAGACAAGTAGTTTGTTTATTCTTTAAACTCTAATTTATGATGATGGATAGCAATTCATAAATGAGATAACAGTATATGGAATTGTGATGCAGAACTACTAGAAAACTAAGATGCATACAGCAGAACATGTCAGTACGTGTACTTTCGTCTTCATGTTAGTCATTTATCTACACTTAGAATTTGTAGCATTAAATGTCCATGTGAGTAGAACTGGTATATCTGAGTAGTGTAAAATAATAGCTCTTCAAACAGTGCTATCTTTTTCGTGAAAGCAAGTTATTTATAATGAATCTACAAATCAATTTGATATGCACAGTCCCATCTTTAATAGTTTTGCCCCTGATACTTCTGGATACATTAAGTTTCAGGTTTATGTCAATATGATTACCCAAATCCACCAACTATTGGAATCCTAATACACGATGCAATAATAACTTTATTAGTGAAACATCTGTCCTCCATAGAGTTTAGGGTCAGTTGCGGATTACTATCACCAAATTTAATTTAGTCAACTTACTACGCTTATAGTTCTGTTGTCCTCTGAGTTTTATTGTTGCAGATCTACCCCTTGAGTGAAAACCTATTGTTGCAGATAGACCCCATGAGAAGGGTCAACGTTTTTTTTACTCAGGGTCTCTCTGCAACAATAGAACTATAAGGGTGGTAAGTCAAAGTTGGTGATAATACAAGGGGCCTATCTGCAATTAATCCTAGATTTCAACTCTTGTTTGACGTTTTTCAGCTGATGGTGGTGAATGCATATAAGTTTATATCTTCTAATGCGTAGATCATATCGGAGAGAAAATGGAGACCCTTATCATTTTGACCTCGTGTGTTAATATTTTGACAAGATTTTGGCCAATCATACCTAATTTGGATAACAGTCTTTAGCATACAGACTTGTTAAATCTCAATTTATGCAGTATACCAGTATACTTTCAATTTTTATGGTCTTATGCTTCCTCAACGAGGTCTAGAGCTATATTGTTTACATGTACTAGACTTGCCTTTTTCCACTTTTCATATCTGTTCTTGTTGGCTTGTTGCCATCATTGTATTTCACAATTTTTTGCTGACGAGTCTGCATGTTATTTAGTTTTAGGTTTGTTTACATCATAAATGTATTGCTATCTCATGTTATTTATTGATAGTACTTTTATGTTTTCAGCTCTGTCCATATCATTTTCTCCCCCCTGGGCTTTTGCATCCAGTAACAGCTATATATGACCTGAAATATGGGGAAGCTGAGGTGGCACAAGGTAAGTAATAATCATAGTGAATACAGCTATGATTATATAATACACCTGGATATTACTAAAAGCATGGCATTCAAGATTCGGTAAAAAAAGAAGAAAAAAGATATGGTAATGGTGTTATATCATCTGTGCAGCTGAGATTAGGAAAACATTACATGAAAGGCTGGGTTTGCCTCTGGATCGTCCTCTTTTGCGTGTTGCAAATTCACTTGCTTTTGGGGTTAAGGACATCACAGAGACCAAGCTAAAATGTAATCTTCTACCAGTGACTACCAGCTTCACATATAATTACATATTGATTTTTCTTCTGCATTTCCTCATCTGTGTTCACTCAAAATTGACTTATTTATTGGATAATTCCTACAGCTAAATTGCTTATAGATGTTCACACTGAAATTCCAAGTAGTGGTGGTAAGTCGCGTGAGACCTACAGTTCTCTTGTTTCTACTAGCATATCTAATTAGCTGAGAAAGGAGAAACCATACTAACTCAATGTACTATTTACAGTTTCTGGAGGCAACCTGTCACTGATTGATGGTTCTTATGAATACTACCATTACCTTCTTGATGGTTTTGATGACAGTGTAAGTAGTCTATTCTCTGATTTATGTTGAATGCACTATATTAATATAGTGTTAATTACTTCTGTGAAATATATTTTTGACACAAAGATCAGTTGGAAAGATGAATCATCTATGTGGCACTTGGTGGGTTCATTTTCTATATATGCATTGCCAATTTTAGATACGTTTTCTGACGATGCACTTTCTTCCTTAACCTTGTCTAATAGCGCTATGGTTTAGATGAAAAAAATGGATATTAGTATCTTTTTGCACCTAAGCTTCTTTTGTGACTATGCAGTATATTGGGTAGACTTGCGGGAATCTCTACTACTTTTATGTGTTCTTACTCATCTGCTACCTGGTTTTTTGTAATAATTTCTAGGGATGGGGATGTGCCTACCGCTCATTACAAACTATCATATCTTGGTTTAGGCTTCAATACTATACTTCCATTGGAGTTCCTTCACACAGGTATGTGTGATTCAGAATGCAATTCAGTATTACAATTTCACTTTGCTAAAACTTTTAAGTATACGTTGTTTGGTTTTCTTGATCACATATTTGTAACTTTTAGGTATTTTCATTTCTCTTTCCAGGGAAATTCAGCAGGCTCTTGTTGAGATCGGTGACAAGGAGCCTGCATTTGTTGGATCGCGTGAATGGATTGGAGCAATTGAATTGAGCTTTGTCTTGGATAAACTTCTTGGTGTAAGACTCCTTGTTTTAGTTTACAATGCAAGTTGGCAATGAAAATAATTTTTTTTGGCATCTTTAGGTACCTTTAAGTATATGGTCAAATAAAAATAAAAAAGCTATTCAATGAACACAAAATAAATCAATACAAGGAATAAAGAAAAAAAATGAAAATCAATCTTAATACAGTTGAAAGACAAAATAAACAAAACTTATTAGAGATTAAAAAAGGAAATTATTGATAATTTATAGGGAAAAGGTTCCAAAGGTGTCACCTTAGATTCAATCTAAGAATCTAAGGTGGCACCTCTTAATGCATGGATTAGACTACTCCAACGGACGATCCGCTCCATTCATCATGATCTAAATGTTTCAAACATCTATAAAATAAAAATAATGATATTTCAATACTTCTAACACATATTTTTCGTTGTTTCTTTAGTTGTATTATCGTAAAACCATTAATTTTACAATCACTTGGCGCATGAGTAACTATAACCCATATGTCTAGTTTTTTGTTTGTATACATATAGATCAAAATGAATGGAGTGGATCAAGTAAATTGATTGCATATAACGTGGTTTTGAAGGTGCTACCTTAGATTGAATCTAAGATGACACCTTAGCAACCTTTTTTGCTTTATTTATTCTTTATTTAGAAGTAAGGAAATAAATGACTTTAATATGAGGTTATTATATACATTTTTTTCTTAAGTTATATATTTCTCATTTCGCCTATGATACCTGTAAGAGATTGAAAACCAAAAAGGTGATGTTACTGCACCCAAAACTATTGGTCATTTATGAAAGTATTAATATTGATTATAACAATTGATGTGTATGGAACTTTTTTCTTTGTGATAATGATAATATATCAATTCTCAAAAGAGATTTTAATTCATTTTGGAATTCCATACATATTGATGATTGGTGTTTATATTTTTCAGTAAGAGCATGTTGCATGTATATTATAGATGAGACAACAAGTGAATCTGGATAATAATTTAGATCATATGCTAAGTTGGAGTAATTAGAATGAAGATTGGCTTACTATGATTAATTTAGGTAAGGTGTGGGTATGAATAATTTGTAAAACTAAGGACCTATGATGCACGGATACAGATACGACACAGACACGGATACGACGAAATCCAAAAAAATAGGATACGGGGATATCCAAAAAAAATTATAAAATTCAAAACAATCAAAAATATGAATCTATCACAAAATAACAAGTTTGTAAACAAAAAGTACCTCAAGATGAAGTGGAAGCTAGTCCGATGACTTCTTCATTGCCTTCATCATCAGATTTATGATAAATGACAACGTAATACGAAAATCTGGATTTAGTATAAATGAGTAACTTTCTTCATCAGATTTATGATAATAATATGACGTTGGGTTGCTGCTCAAACTCAAAAATCGGAGGAGATAATGATGACAGTGGTGGTGGTCAAGGTTTTAAATATCGGATGTCGGGTTCATGTCGCTCGGCCAAAATTCATGTCGGATAGCGGAAATCGGGGATATATCGGGGGACATGAAAAAAATATCGGATTGTCATATCGGATAGGTTGATATAATATCATAAATGGAATCTTCACATACTTAATAATTATATTATCTAAACATATGAAAAAATACATATGAGAAGGTCTTCATTTTCACAAGCAACCACCAAGTTTTTGCTTTTGCATAGAAAACCAAATAGACACTAGAACAGCTTAACTGCATATGTTTAGACAATTCTTATTAAAGTATAATAATTATCCAGAATATAAAAATTACTAATACAATTCTTTATACACAACTTTATTTATTAATGTAAAGATTTATTAATTGTTCAATTTAAGAATTTATGTTATTATAAAAGTCACTTCATAATTTTACACTCAAAGAAAAAGATTACAAAAAAAAATGTTCACATACAAAGCGCGTGCATTATACTAGTAGGAACAAAAAGAAAATTCTACTGAAATTGAAAATTAAACTCGTAATTGCTATTCTAAACTACTTAACTGCATCGACTAACAATTGCAGGATTTTTATTATATATCTGTCATTTCTCCAAACAAGAAACTAGTAAAACCGAAGTATATGTGCACCTAATACAAATAAATTCATGTGTTCTTATAGCCTTCCATTATAAAGAAAACACATGCAATAACAAGTAATTAAAACCTACAACAAGCACCCATATGGGTAGTGGATGGGAAACAATGTGAAACTTTACATAAATAGAAGGTGAAAGATATTGCAAATCATATGATTTCAACATGTCAATGTGAAACCGATATTTCTGAATTTTGGCCGATATTTCGGGATCGGGTCGGAACAGCGGAGGTGATCGAATCGAACGGGAGTGAGCTGAGAGATTGAGAGAGAGGATTAGGGTTAGGGTTAGGGTTTTTTTCCCTTTCGTTTTAGTCAGCTGAGGATCAAATCGAACGAGAGATTTGAGAAATAGGGATGAGTTTTCTTAATCGAACGGTTCGGGTTGGATTGTAACAACCAAACCCGCAACCTGCAACCCGGCCTTCGATGAATCTGAGCCGTGTCCGAGCCTAATTTGACCGTTGACCCGTGTCGGACACGAATTGACCGTGTCCGACACGTGTCGTGCACGTGTCGTGATGGATCCGTGTCCGATTCGAGTCGGACACGGATTCGTGGCCTCCGGGGACGAATCCGTGCTTCAGAGCTAAGGACAGATTAGGTTGATGTTAAATGGATAAGAAAGGAAACGGTTAAGAATGTAAATTCTCATATTGGCTGATGTGGATGAACCGATAGCAGAAAAATTAACCCAAGGGAATGGACGCAGAAGTAACAGGAATAATCGGGGAAGGAGTTCTCCGGAAATTCCCAAAGAACAATATTTTAAGATATTTTTAGGAGTGAAGTAATCAAAACAACATGCAGGTCACAAATGATAAACCAGTTGCAGAAAACCTAACCCAAGGGAATGGGTGCAGAATTGGGAATAATTGAGGAAGTCCTCCGAACTGCTGAAAGGTTAATATAATATATTACAAAAAGTAATTGAAATTCTATGCAGGACAAGTTTAATATTTGATAGATGAAATCTTTTTGGCATCTTGTAGTACATGCTTCTGGTACTAGTATAGATTAGCAAGGGATACAATCAGTACAGTAGGAAAAGTTATTGAATGCTGAAAAAAGTAGATGGTTTATCTTTTTATGACCGTTATTTGACATGTTTCTTTCTAATGATTAGTGCATAAACTCTTAAATGTCAGCCAATTAGTGATGCATACAATTTGACAAGGAAACAATTTTTTTTTAAAAAAACGGTATGTTTGAGTGTAGGAGAAATTGGTGACTATAGATTTTAGCTTCTGAATGTGTCTACTTTATATTGAACATCTAAAATAAAGTTATTCCCTGATATTATACTTTGGGATCATGCAACTGATTTATGCTTACGTGGACTGACTTATGGGGGCTAGAGATGGGGATGTGCCTACTGCTCTTCCATTTCCTGTTATGGTGTCCCGCTAGACCAATATATAAGCTAATTCGAGTAGAAATAAATCCGGAGATCTGGTCTTAAACCTGTATGAACTGGTTCAGACATGATAAGCGGAACCCAGTGGCCATGTGTAGACAGAGATGATAAGGGGAAAAGGATGACTACATAGGTTCATCATGACATGTATTGTTAAGTTTCAAATTTTGAATTTTTAACTTGTTCAAGTAATATGCATACCCACGATTCCTTCTATACTTGCTATAAGATAACAAGTTCGAAATTTTCCATAAATTTTTTATGAGTTAAGTCTCCGAACAATCTATTCAATAATAACCTTGGTTTGTATTTGTAGAATTGAGTAGAGGTCAGTCGAGCCTCATTTAGATGGGTAACTTTGTAAATCAATGACTAGGTTATTGCTAAACTTTGATGGCCAACCAATTCTCTCTCTAACAGGTTAGCTGCAAGATCATGAATGTGAGATCTGGGTCAGAGCTTCCAGAAAAATGCCGAGAGCTTGCCATGCATTTTGCGACACAAGGGACACCAATAATGATTGGTAGGTATTTTTTATACTACGTGTGACAGTGTTGAATGAAATAATGTGATTCTTATAGCCTACCCTAAAACTTTGGGATAAAGTTTATGTTATTGTTGTCGTATAAGGTACACTTTATTTTAGTTATTTGACCACTCTATTATGAAGGTGGCGGTGTCCTAGCTTATACCCTGTTGGGAGTTGACTACAATGAGACAAGTGGGGACTGTGCTTTTCTTATCCTTGATCCCCACTACACGGGTGGTGATGACCTTAAAAAGATTGTCAATGGGGGATGGTGCGGGTGGAAGAAGGCTGTTGATAGCAAAGGTCGGAACTTCTTCTTGAAGGACAAGTTCTACAATCTTCTCCTTCCACAAAGGCCCAACATGGTTTAATGATTATTCCAAAAGTAGAGTCAAACAGAAGTTTAGTGGAAAGAAAATGTACGCAGAAGATAGAACTGCTTGAACTGGTTGGCTTCATTGTTCATGTCCATTTCATTCCCCGCCATGATGGTGATGCATATAATCCGGAGGAACGCAAATGTCTATGTCAACTAAGGTTTTTGGACATGGAGAGGATTCCTCTGCTTACGATTGCATTATTAAGGTGCTGATGCGAGGAACTAAGGTTGAGCGATAATGAGAAATCCCTTTTAGAACTTTTCTCAGGTTTTGGAGCTTTCGTTGCCCTTCATATGTGCTACTAAATTGAAGTGTATGTATTATTATGCGTTGATGGCTACATATGAAAAGCTAATAAAATAAATTTGGACATGGATAAAGAGAAATGATGGAAGGTTCTTGTTTTTGCAGATGGTTTCTTGTGTTTTCAGTTCTGTCTGACTTATGCTTTCACTGAATTGATAGACGTGTCTTGCATATGTATTGTTGGCATATCTTTATGTACTTGTAAATGTAGTCTTTAGTGTATTTTTCATATAATTCAGATATACACGATGTTCATTTGAGGGGGGAGTGTTGAAGAATTCAGAATTTTTTTGTAACTGTTCCTATGGCTCGTTTGGGGATGTTTAGTTATAAGTGATTTAAATTATTTTGTTCAACAAAAACTATATGTACCACAGCGGTAATTAATATCTAGATAGGGGGTCCTTTTTAATACTAGTAAGGAAGCATGTGCTTTGCACGTGCCCGGTGGAAGTTCTGATGATTTAAAGGATTAATTTCAAGATAGGATTGATTTCAGGGACTATGATAGAAAAAATCCATTATAGTTATTTGGTGGCTTATTTTGACTTTGGTATCCTTGATGTATTTTGCAAACACTTTGATCCAAAACTTCAGACACATTTTGCTTTAATATCCTATCCACAGTGTGTTAGGTTTTTCCATTAAACTTGTATTATGTCAATCAACATGTGATTAATAAGTGGCACAACACATTTTAAAAAGAAACGTATGGACAAAATTGTCTCAATAAATTATTCCACAGAATTGCAAACGTTCGGTTAAAGAAGTATATGTATGACAAAAGAGTATAAGAAGGAAAATATAACCGATGCTAGAGAGCAATTAGCATGTTTGGATGAAATAGTATAAAAAAGTACATAACATGAGGTAGGATGAATATTAAAATTTAGAAAAAAGTAGTAGATAATTATACTTAAAAATAATAAAATGTGTAGCCCACTGATAAGTGTTAGTAAACAAATTGAATGGTGATAAATATAAAATTATAGCTAATTAATCTAAATAACAATATCTTTATCACGTATGATGACCCAAATGCATTTTTTAAGGCTATTATCTCATAGAGATGAGTTAGAATATTATTGTAATTACATAATGAGTTAATTTCTCTAAAAAAATAATTAATTAGTTAGTTGATTAATTAGTTCTAACATTAGGAAAAGCCCGGATTAGTTTAAGATAGTGTATTGATTTAAGAATGTGATGGGTAAAAGTTATCATATATTATTTAATAACTCTACTTTGAGAAAAGGTCCAAGCCCATTCCACTTAAGGCATGTTTGTTTCATCTCCTAAAAACAAAGGAAAATGAATCCGGTGCAAATATATGTTGTCCATAGGTTTGCATGCATTTCGTCGAAATGCTGTTTTATATTTGTTTTGGCATAAAGTAGAGGGTAGAATTGGAGTAGAATTGAAATATGTCGTTTTTTTCAGCCATAAATAGGAAAGAAAAAATTGACTATAACCATTTCTAGCAATCCACTCTCAATCCCCCAATACTTAATTAATTAATCTCACCTTTCCCATCTTTTCAATCTTAATTTCAAGCGGAATTGTTTTCAACGAAAAACTTCTGGCTTTCCGTATTTATAGGAAAAGACTTTTCTATAGTTGCATTGTGAAACAAACACAAGAACACGAAAGTTTCAACCAAAACAAATAATAAAATAAAATAAAATAAAACTGACGACCTCAAGGAGTTCGCATATAGCTTTCATTTTTTTAAAACAAACACACTTAGGCCATATTTGGATTGAGTATTATTTTGAGTTAATAACTCTTTATCTTTTAAAAATAAAATAGCAATGTGTTTTCAGCAGTTGAATATGTCTATCAAATCATACATATTTGCATATCAACCCTCCTAAATCTAGACATTTGTGCAAACAAAATACTGTATTTTTTTGTGCAAACCAAAAAATTATTTTTTTTGTACAAACAAAAAAAAAAATATTTGTACAAACAAAAAGATTTAAAAACTATAATTTTTAATACCCTCAAATTTAAAAACTATAATTTTTTTTTGTACAAAAAACTTAAATGCAAAAAAATAGAAAGGAAAAAAACAATTGGGACCGCCTCCCTGGCTTCTCCGCGGCAGTAAACAAACAAATTCCTTCCTGTTTTCCCTCACCACTATAACCAGAATTTTTTTTTTTGAGAATACACTATAACCAGAATTAATTATGGACCCTAATATAATTAGTATTAAGGTTTGTGTTTTGATCTCCTTTTACCCACTATAAGGCTATTAAACCCTGTATTATATGCTCCTAGATTAATGGTTGAATAATTGACCTCTGATGAAGCAAACCTTGGTCCTTGATTTGATACTGTTAAGACATAACCGTAGGCCCAAAACAATTGGACAATGTGCTAAAACTAATTGGTTTTGGGGGAGCAACCGTGCCCATTATAACAATAGCCGACCTCAGCCGAGAAAATCAGAAGGAAATGACGGTGACCACGGTGGATTCAGCAGCGAACTGAAGAGTGATGAGATTTCTTAAAATCTTTGCGGTCAAGAATCTTTGTTGCGTTGTACGGAGGACTTCGGACAAAAGTCTTTACAAGGCTTTGTGAATTCTTCTCGACTTTCAGGGAACCAATAAAACGTAACAGCAAGAAAACGAAAGGAATAGAGCAGAGAAGAAGAGAGTTGTTATGTTTTTCACTGTACTGAAATCCTTGAGGGTTTATGTCCTTTTATAGAGTTTAAATTCATCATTTAGATCCACTTTTTACGCCTTTCAGATCCGCCATGCACACCCTATTGAATATAAATCCATTATTATTCTAGCTGTTTCCGTCCATAATTCTCGCAACAGAGTAACTAGAACGTTTTAATTATTCACATTTAAAATCCACAAATTTCGCCAATTAAAGCTAGCCGTTTTCCTGTCATTTAAATTAATCACGTTTTAATTGTTATAAATGTTAAATCATGGTTTTTAATTGCAAAAAGAAAAGTCCAAAATGTAGCAGGTTAAGGAACCCTCAATTCGGAACTGCATTCGTGTCCGCAGGTCGTGGGTCAATCCGGAACTGCATTCGTGTCCGCAGGTCGTGAGCGCGCGCCACCCGACCCGACCCCGAGCACGGCACGGTCGGCGCGCGTGTGTGTGGTGTGGAGCATAACCTTTATTTGCTTCTAGGCATAGGAGAGAAGGGAAAGACTTATAAACACCCTTCCTTCTCATCTCCTATCCAATGTGGGACTAAAATTTCTCACTCCAAACTCAAGTTTTAAGTTACAACTCTAATAATCCCACATATAACTTAAAACTTAAAATAATTCAGAAATAGCAATAAAAGAAGAACTTTAAAACAAATAAATAATTGTTGGTTCCCTTATACTATGTAATAGGTGGAGGTACCTTTCGGTTTGAACCTTCACTTAGTGACAGTTGTATAGATCCGTGAGAGCTTGGTGGACTACGCATTGAACTAGTCTCATTTATCGAATTTCTACAGAAAACACACATAGTACAGTTTTGAAGAATTCTAAACGGGTTGCGCAATTGTCGGCCTTGCACATGTATCTTTCATGTGTGTTACTAGGGAGCAGCCCTAATCCCATAGTCGCGGCCTCACAACTACACACAAATAGGTGAATCCTAATAAGGATGCGAGCAAGTAAGCATCCTGCCTCATGGGTCTTGGATTCATTAAGAGTTAGACTCAACCTTTCACTTGCTTTTTATGAGCACTGATCATCCTAGGGATGAGAGCAAATAAATTCAGTGCTCCTCACAATTAATCACTCATTCAGTTTGTTTCTACCCATTGAACCTCTACGAGGTTGGGTTGCCACTGCAGTGATTTTTCGTATGGGCTTAACCCCATCCCTCTCGATGATTCTAGGACTACTGCCCTAGATAAACCTTTAGTTAAGTGATCTGCAAGATTTTTCTCTGGTCTTACAAATTCTAAGGCTATTACATGATTTTTCATCTTATATCTCAAGGATTTATGTCGCACTTTCAAGTGTCGATTCATCTTCACATTTGCATTCTCTTGATGACATTTGTCAATCGCTGACCTGCAATCACAATGAATAGAAATAACTGGTAATGGTTTTTGTATTAATGGAATTTCAGTAAGTAAATCTTTCAACCATTCAGCTTCTATAGTAGTAGTATCAAGCGCTATCATTTCTGATTCCATTGTACTTCTAGCCATTACAGTTTGTTTAGTAGATTTTCAGGACACAGCTCCTCCTCCTAAAAGGAACATAAAACCAGTGGTGGGTTTTACATCTACTGAGTCACTAATCCAATTTGCATCTGAGTATCCTTCTAATACAGATGGATAACCTTTATAATATAAATCATAGTTCATAGTTCCTTTTAGATACCTCTAAATTCTTTCTAGAGCATCCCAATGACTCTTATCAGGATTTGTTGTATATCTACTAAGTCTATTTACTGCATAAGCAATGTCAGGTCTGATGTAGTTTGTCAAGAATTCTAATGATCCAATTATTTGTGCATATTTTCTTTGTAATTGAGGATAACCTGTATTTTTTTTAGATGTACATTAGGATCATATGGAGTAGAAACAGGTTGATAATTTAGATCATAAAAGTTCTTGAGTATTTTCTCTATGTAGTGTGATTGTGACAACACATATCCATTCTCATTTTTTAAGATTTTAGTGTTAAGAATTAAATCAGCTTGACCTAAATCTTTAATGTCAAAATTTTGTGATAAAAAATGTTTGATTTCATTTATGCTTTGTATGTCAGAACCAAAAATAAGAATATCATCAACATATAAGCATAAAATCACAATTTTGTTGTTATTATCTGTTTTATGATATACACACTCATCTGCTTGATTAATTACAAATCCATAGGATAGTATGATCTCATCAAATTTCATGTGCCATTGTTTTGGAGCTTGTTTGAGACCATATAGTGATCTAATAAGTTTGCATACTTTCTTCTCTTGTCCAGAAGCAATAAATCCCTCAGGTTGATCCATATAAATTTCATCATCTAAATCTCCATTTAAGAATACAGTTTTATCATCCATTTGATGTAATATCAATTTGTGAATGGATGCTAAAGCTATAAGGACTCTAATGGTAGTAATCCTAGCTACTAGAGAATAGACATCAAAATAATCAATACCAGATTTTTGGATATATCATTTACTACTCTGGCTTTATATTTATTTATTGTTCCATCAGATATGAGTTTATTTTTGAATACCCATTTACATCCTATAGTTTTGCATCCTAGAGGAAGATCAGTGAGTTCTCAAGTATGGTTTTAAACTATAGATTGAATCTCATTATTTATAGCTTCCTTCCAAAACAGAGCATCTACTAATTTCATTGCATCTTCAAATGTAATTGGAGAATCTTCTACAAGTAATGCATAGAAGTCAACATGGACATTTTCTACTCTAGTTCTCTTACTTCTCTTAGGTTCTTCTGGATTTTCTAGTGGTCTAATTTGTCTAGAACTAGGTTCACTTTGGTTAGAACTAGGATCTGAATTGCTAGAGTTAGAGTCTGTGTTGCTTACTCTGGTTTTGTAAGGAAAAATATTTTTAAAGTAATGTGCATCCCTAGCTTTAATAATGGTGTTGTTGGTTATCTCATTAATGTCAGAGTTGATTATTAAAAATCTATTTGTATTACTATCAGAAGCATAACCAATAAATATTTCATCTATAGTTTTAGGGTCAATCTTCTTTCTCTTATTTTCAGGTACCTTAACTTTTGCTAAGCACCCCCACACTTTCAGGTGATCTAAGTTAGGGTTTCTATTCTTTCAGATTGTGTAAGGGGTTTTATCAGAATTCTTGAATAGAATTCTATTTAGTATATGACAAGCAGTCATTAGGGCTTCTCCCCACAGGTTCTCTAGCACACCAGAATTAATTAATATTGAGTTTACCATATCCATTAATGTTCTATTCTTTCTTTCAGCTACTCCATTAGATTGAGGTGTATATGGAGCAGTTATTTCATGGATGATTCCATTCTCTTCACAGAATTGTTTGTTCATTAGAAGTGTACTCAGCACCTCTATCTGATCTTAGTATTTTAATTTTCCTATTTAAGTGATTTTCAACTTCTGCTTTATATATTTTAATTTTGTTTATAACTTCATCTTTGGTCTTAATTAAGTAGAGATAACAATGTTTAGAACAATCGTCTATGAAGGTTATGAAATATTTGTTACCTCCTCTAGATGTTCTTCCTGAATCACAGACATCACTATGGATGAGTTCTAATATCTCAGAATCTCTATCAATAGTTTTAAATGGTTTCTTAGAAAATTTGGCTTCTACACATATTTCACATTTTTCATTATCTTTTATATTAAGTTTTGGAATTATATTGAGTTGCATCAATCTTTTAATTGAATTATAATTGACATGTCCTAACCTTTGATGCCAAGTGATACAAGGTTCAATATTCAAAGTCATTGGAGATGCAAAAGTAGAATTCTTAACATTCAATTTAAAAGACCATCACATAGAAATCTTTTTCCAATAAAATTCAATCTCTTAGTTATTACAACTTTATTTGATTCAAAAATAAGCTTACAGCCTTGTTACACTAACAAAGATCCGCTAATCAAGTTTCTCCTAATGTCTGGTACATGGTGGACATCCTATAGGATCAAAGTCTTATCCGAAGTCAGCTTTAGATTGATCCGACCTATTCCAGATACAGGAGCCACATTATTATTTCTCATTGTCACAGTTCCTCTACTTGAGACCTGATAAGTGAAAAACAGAGATTGATTAGAACAAACGTGAATATTAGCTCTCATTGAACATTTGCTTGAAAGATCATATTTACTTTAGGGGTGAAGAGAACAGACCTGAAAGCAGTCTCAGCTGAACTGGAAGTCGCCATGTTTACTTGTGACTTATTTGGTGGAGGTCCTCCTTTCCTAGACTTGGGTGGTTCTGTCTTCTTATAAAAACAGTCATTTACAAGATGGTTGATTCGACCACAAATGAAACAGGCTCGACGTTCAGCTCCTTCATTCTTTTGAAAGTGATCAGGGTTCTTATTTTGATGAAATGATTTATTCTTAAATGTTTTATTTTGATTTTGATGGAAGAGACGTTTCTTGTGTTGGGGAAAGGGTTTGGATTCAACATTGTTTACTTTGGGTTCTTTGGGTTCGGATTTTGTCACATTTTTCTCCATGAGTCTATGTTGCTCTTCGATTCTAATGGCATTCAACACTTGTTCAAGGGTAAGATCTCCTTGGGTATGGTTAAGGTTTTTGACAAAATTTGACCAGGACTCGGGAAGTTTGTCTATAAGACATGCTATCTGAAACGTTTCATCTAAGATAGATCCATTCATTTTTAATTAGTGAACTATATGTTCGAATTCATGAATTTGCTCATTCATTGGTTTAGAATCTACCATTTTAAATTTGTTAAAATCAGAGGCTTTAAATCTTTTAATTCCCATATCATTTAAACCATACTTTTTCTCTAGTGTTTCCCACAGAACTTTAGTATTAGTGATAGTATAATATATATCATATAACCTATCAGATAAGGCTCCTAAGATTCTGTGTAGACAATGATACTCTATTTCTTGAGGTGTTATCGGGATAAGAATGGAATCTGTGGAGGAAGATAAGGAAAATTGCCTAGTTATTGGTCTAGATGAAGATGAGTTGTCTGGTTCTATGGTAATTATTAGATTTAAGAATTGTTAACCAAAATCTCATTTGGTTTTGCCAACGACGGAAATTGTTCCCATCAAACTTCTCTAGTTTAGCCGACATAATTTCACTTGTAGCCATAATCTGATGATAAATGAATAATTTTGTTATTATAATGCAACAGATGTGATTTAAACATTCAAACAACAGAATCAAGTATAGCATGTCGGTTTCATAAGATGTAGACTGCATTAACATAAGAAATATAATACGAAACAGAATACTAAACATACTAAACATGATATATTCTAAACAGCTCAATTAGATTCTTGGATTGTTAAAAATATAGCTGTTTAGACAATAATTAACACAAAATTATGTTTTTAATAGTTAATAAAAATCAGATAGTGGGTTAATATTATAACACAGAAATTAATTCAAACGAAAAATAAATAAGGTTAGAAATACGGTCTGATGATCGAAGCGTGCACTAAGCACTGTCCCAAGAATGTAATTGCCCTCTCGTACAGGGCTTTGTGACAATGGATCTTAGAGATACGACGATCCTCGGTCAGGCGACCTCCTTCTCGTCGGCACGAGCTTCAAGAAAGCTTTGTGAATTCTTCTCGACTTCCAGGGAACCAACAAAAAGTAACAGCAAGAAAACGAAAGGAATAGAGCAGAGAAGAAGAAGTTGTTATGTTTTTCATTGTACTAAAATTCTTGCGGGTTTAAATCCTTTTATAGGGTTTAAATTCGTCATTTAGATCCACTTTTTACGCGTTTCAGATTCGCCATGCATGCCCTATTGAATATAAATCCATTATTAATCTAGTTGTTTCCGTCCATAATTCTCGCAACAGAATAATTAGAACGTTTTAATTATTCGCATTTAAAATCCACAAATTTTGCCAATTAAAGCTAGTTGTTTTCCTGTCATTTAAATTAATCACGTTTTAATTGTTATAAATGTTAATCATGGTTTTTAATTGCAAAAAGAAAAGTCCAAAATGACAGCCCGACCCGACCCGGCCGGCACACACGTGTGTGACATGAAGCATAACCTTTATTTGCTTCTAGGCATAGGAGAGAAGGAAAATACTTATAAACACCCTTCCTTCTCATCTCCTATCCAATGTGGGACTAAAATTTCTCACTCTAAGCTGAAGTTTTTAAGTTACAACTCCAACATATCTTACGTTGAATGAAGAGATATTTTCGATGTTATGATCACACAACGAGCACCGACTTACATGAGAACAGCGATGACGACCCACAGAAATCACTCTAATAATAACCAAATAGTTGTTTCTTTATCTCGTAAAAAGCAGAGCCACTCACAAAAACGTCTCCCAGCACTACTAAAAGTAAAATAAGAAACTGATTTCACAAGTTCAAATTTTAAATTGACTTCCCATCTATTTAACAAATAATTACAAGTCGTAACGAGGGTAGAGTGACTGCAGAGGTAGACAGAAGGTTTCCTTGGTAAGCCAAAACAGTCGTACTGATAATAACATGTTCAGAACTCTACTTTTAGGGCCCGTTTGGTTGGTTTCCTAAAAATCAAGAAAAGGAAATCGGTACAAGGAAATCAATAAAATAATATTTTTATCCATTTTCATCCCTAAAACTCACCCATAACATCTAATAAAATATTATTTTTATCTTCCAACTCATCTCATTTCATCTCCTTTCTTATATTTAAAAATAAACCAAACACAAGAAATGTGTCACATCATCCAACTCATCATATCCCATTTTTAAAAATCACACACATCATCCAATAATATTGTGACAACTCATCTCATCTCATTAAACATTCCTTTCCATCCATTTCCTCAAAAAAAAAAAAGAAATTGGTTTCCTTAAGTACGTGTCACATCATCCAATAATATACCTCCAACTCATCTTATCTCATCTATTTTCCTATTTTTAAAAACGAACCAAACACAAACAACCTCAAAACATCATCCAATAATATACCTCTAATTCATTTCCTTATTTTTTTTAACCAACCAAACAATCTCAAAACAATTTTTTTTTTAAATCACTCACACCATCCAATAATAAGGTGACAACTCATCTCATCTCATCTCCTATTCTACAATTTCCTTCTTTTTTAAACCAACCAAACAACCTCAAAATAAATATTATAGGAAATATGTTTCCTATTCTTTGATTTCCCAAAAAAAATTGCGAAACGAACAGCCCTTGGACAATCCAAGATTTCCACCTCAAATACATCGTGCAGGGCCAATTAATGTTTGGTGGAGGAAACAACATAACGCCCCCCTGGAGATAACTGAAACTTTCAGCATGTGGCTACTAACATTACAACACAGGAGCGCACACAAAACGCACCAGGTCCCCGATTCATATGGAAAACACCTACTAAAAGGAGGGAACAAATCTAGAACTAGTAAACCTGACTCATAAGATAAAAGAGTTTGTATGTTCCTTTTCCACGGTAAACAAAGAAGACTGCATGAAATAGGGGGGGCATTAAATGGGAGAACATCCCTAATAACTTTGAAACGTATCTAGAAATAGAACGGCGAAATCAGACCATACATATACCTGCTCTCAAAGCTGATAGGGCTTCCAGAAAAGCCACCACATGAGACTATGGATGATCACTCCTAAGCAGCAGCAGCACTAAAAGTCGGCAAAAGCCAGCCATTCTTCTTAGCACGCTCGACATAAAACCCAAACTTCTCCTCGGCCTTGGGAATATCAAGAGCCAGATCATCCAGCCCATCCCTAACCCTAGCAAAACCCTTCGTCATCTGGTTAATGGTGATCAATCCTTCGCCAAAACACTCCTGCAGTAAATCAAGTATACGATCATTTTTCTTCTCCATCGCCATTACAAGAGCTTTCTTAACCACCTCGTGATTGAAGAAGGGCAACCCCAGGTCACGAATGCATCGGCAAGCTTCCCCTACGTCACCTCCACTCTCATACTCCTCCAAAAGCTTTGCGATCTTGTCTTTCGCGTCCTCCACTATCCAACCGGTTCCTCCACCCCAGCATCTTAGAAGCCTCTCGCCTGCATGACGAGCTGATACAAGCGACTGTGCCATATGAACAGTTCCACTTCCACTGCTGTTAGGTGGAAGCTTGCTCGTAATCTCCTCTAGGTTTAGAGGAACCAATACATCATCAATCACCGCCCGAGCTATGAATAGAGCTAGCTCGTTGGAAGCATCCAAAATATCCAGTGCAGTGTCCTCTGCAGACTCCAGAAGCATCGTGAATCCATTTACAACGTCGTCGGATGAAAAGATCTCCACCCGTAGTGCAGATAAAAGAACAGACGCCATCTCTCTCTCCCTATTCTTTCGGTCCATGGCGAGTGTAATCAGTTTCTTGACGAAAACAGGGTTGTACTCAGGAGCAGCTAGATCTTGAAGACTTCTGATGAGTTCAGGTATGTCATCTGAAAGAAAATACTCCTGGATTATGGTGACTGCTTCTTCCTTATACCGTGCTAGCTTCTCATCTTCACTTTTGTACTCGCCATTTTGACCAGAAGGCTTAAGAAACAAAGGGTCAAGCCATCCTTCAGATATTGATTTTGGAACCAGCAACTTGAAAGAATCTTTAGCAGAGGGAATATCGAGAATCAGGTCATCAAGACTTTCACTGAACCGAGAAAACCCTTTTATCATCTGACTAGAGCTGATTAGGCCTTCCTCTGATGCTTCTTTCAGCAGTTTTGATATAAGTTGCTCTGACGTTGGTGACTCCATGGCAAGCACGAGAGCACGTTTTACAACCTCATGGTGGAAGAAAGAGACCCCCAATTCCCTTATGCACCTACAGGCTTCTGCTGTATCTCCGTTCTCAATATATTCTTTCAGTAAATCTGAGATCTTTCTCTTCACTTCTTCGACAGTGATGTGGGTACTACCACCCCATCGTCGTTCAACTAATTCCGCATGATGGGGAGCTGATAAGTAGCTCTTTTCAGCAGTTTGAATTACCTGAAGCCCTTTAGATGTGTCAGAAAGTGCTCTTTTTGCTCTATCAAGAAATGCAGGAGGTAAGATATCATCAACTACTGCACGGGCAATAAAAAGAGCCAGGACATCAACTGCATCAAGTATGTCAACTGCTAGATCATCTGCAGCCTCAAGAAGCATGAAAAATCCTTGACTAATGCGAACTGGGCTTATTACATCAGAGTACAAAGCAGACAGTAAAACTGATGCCATCTCTTTCTCTTTGTCATGCCTGTCCATTGCTATGGAGATAAGTCTCTTCACGAAGTAAGGATGGAACTCATCTGAGCCAAGATCTCTTAAATCAGAGGCAGCTAATTCCACCTCTCCATTACTAAAATATTCCTCAATTAGAGTAACTACAGACTTCTTGTAATCATCCAATGGGTCTGAAACGGTAGAACCCACCAGCTGGTACGGTTCCTGTCATTACAGAAAGAAGCAAGAGACAACAGGACTATCAGAAAGATGCCCTCGCCATGAATTAGCAGATTAGTGATATTAGAAGTAGAGCGAAAGGACCAACTAGACACTATGTTCTTGTCTGCCAGTTGCTAGTATAAATTAAGCCACACTACCAATCCCTCGTCTGAAGACATGAGAATAGAAAATAAACCATATTAATTACCGCTCAAGTCCATATTCAGCCTAAAAATTATCCCACGCACTTCATAGGAGGGAGACAAGGAGAGAACATACCTCACCACTGTCATAGTTGGGATCATTGCGATCAAGGTGCATGTCAGAATCAGTATCAATAAGTTTCCCCCATGTTCCTTTACCACCAGCACCAGCTGCATAAGTAGTGTGAGCAATAAACAACAGAACATGATAAAAAGGCCAATACAGCAGATGGTAAGAAAAATAGATACTATCATCCACATTTTAAAATTTATTGAAAAGAAAATTCATGATTGACATAGAAGTCCAAATAATAACATTTAATGAATTTACTGTGCGCACATTGACACACTCTTGAGACATTCCTGTCACCACACTATAAATCTCTTCCTTTTCAACTTCCCCTCCGAAAGTTCCTAAATCCATTGTCTTCCTCCCTAAAATTCTTTCAGTACCTACTATTTGGAATCAGAGCCACCAACTTCTTTTCAATCAACTACATCATCAGACAGATCCACCACTAAAATAACCAGTTTGCGTCAAAAATAATAATAAGTAAGAAAATATGTAAATCTTACTCAAGTTTTCTGCACAAGGAACCAACTTCAACTACACAAGTAAAAATTGAACTTTAACATTATCCTTGTCCAACAACACAAAATAAAAACTAATAAAGTAGAAGCAATCAAATCCATACCTACCACCTAAATCTCCAAGAATAAACTATGCAACCTCCATTAAAAGCATAATGAAAACCTAAAGGAAGAACTCGAGATTTGCATGGGTAGCCAATTCAGACCTAAGATAAACATATTGAACATGCATGAGACATATAATATAACAAATTTAAATGATTGAAAAGATTAATAAACATAACTCATAGTACTAAAAGTAACTCAAAAATACATGTGTATGCTGTAAAATATTTAGAAATATAGATAAGTCCAAGGACGAAATCAAGTTCCCTACAGTTTTACAGGGTTCATATCCAATTTCTAACCCCTTTCTAGCATTTTTCATTTGTTTTCCTAGGATAGCAGAAAAACTTCCTCGCAGTCGAGGAACCACATCTCTTTAAATAGGTGCTCTGTATCCCAGGAAGAGGTTCCAACAATTGAACAACCAATTCCTGAAAGAAGAAAAAGAATGATTCTCAAACTCTCAATGAATTCATTGTCAACATGGATCCTCTAATTTAACCTGTTAGAGGATAGAACTTATCGAGGAGCTTTGCAGCCCAGGAGGAGGTTCCAGCAATTGAACGACCAATTCTTCAAAGAACTATAAGAAAAAGAATGTTTCTCACTCTGAATGAATTCATTGCCCACATGGATGCTCTAATTTAATCTATTCGAGGATAGAACTTTAAAACTTATACCTGAAGTCCAAGGACATACATAATTCATGAAGTAGCAATAGACGATAGAGCAGGCAAAGTTCTATATCAAACCATCAAGAGTAACAACTAACAGACACAAGCCCTAGACACAAGCGAAATCATCATATCTAATTTTGTAACTCTGCACGAATATTAAATCCAACTATCTAATCAGATAGGTTCACATTTAACCTGACCATGCCACTCCACTGCCTGATTAAACCAAAATTGTCAAACTGAAGTCTTGCACTAGCCTAACTCATGCACATGGAAAGCCACCACCTTTTTTTCTTTTTTCTTTTTTTGGGTCTTTTTTCTTTTTCCTTTTTTTTTGTTTGGGTGGGGTGGGGGTGTGGGTGGGTGGAGTGGGGCCCGGGCGGGGGGGGGGGTGGATCAAATCTGACGAACATTAGTGCAAAAAAACTTTCTCTGTCCACGCTCCTTCGGCCCCAAGGGGGAAAAAAGAACATTGTCGTCATACTCCTGATCAAATCAAAAACTAATGCTTGGATCACCTCAATCATACAATAATACCTATAATTAACTCAATACAACAGCTCACTCAATAAAGATAATCTGCATACACCAAACAAACAAGTATTAAATGAATGTACTTTTCAAAATCTAAAGCAAATAAATTGAATTGTAAAAACATATTATGAATTGATGTATAGTTATATGTTTTTTTATTATTTTGTTCATTTAATGGATTAATATATCATCATATGTCATGAATTGACGTAACGCTGTATCATGTTATTATGTTTTCTTTCCTATTTTGTATCCTTAATTTAACAGTTTAATGTATCATCATATATGATTTTGTGCTATTCAATGCAAAATACTTGCGCGCCCTAAGGCTAGACTCACGCAGCTCTACAATGAAAGAAAATAATTATAATCTTATGTAATGTACATATATACAAGAGGTACCACTGAGCGAACAAAGCAACTAAAAGGGCAGCTATCCTCCCCCCCCCAACACTATGTGAAACCCCAATACCCTCCTCCAAAGGTGGAAGTCTCCCATTTCTGTCCCCCCACCCCACCCCCCCACCCCACTCCCCAAACCCCCAAAAAATCCTCTCTTTGAGATAAGACGGAGCTACAATTCCTCAATTTAGAGCAAACAATAACTTCCTGTCTAACACCTATTTGGGCCCGTGTAACTCCTCCAACTAACTCCCAAACACTAAAGAAATATACACCTACCCATGTAGAAACGACGAACACATTGACGAGGTTCAAGAAATTTGAAGTTGGGAACATTTTGAGTGTTGTCCGATCGACTGCCAAGTTCGTCGCGGTCGACCGCAAACGTGCACAACACAGGAAAGATTTCGACACAGGTTGCGGTCGACCGTCAAACCCTGTAGTCGATTTTATGTTTCTATCTTTCTAGTCAGTCGACCACAACGATTTCGGCGGTCGACAGCGAGTCGGGTTTGGGCCTGCTTCGGTTTCCTGCACTGTTTGAGATTTCTACTTAATATAAATAGAAACACGATTTGTTTAGGGTTTCAAATCGTATTGATTGAGTTTTGGTGTAGCTTGAAGGAGAGTTTTGAACACAGAAAAGAGAGTTCTTTCTGAACAATTTGTTTGAGGGTTTTGTGAGAGATTTGAGAGTTTAGTTTAAAAGATTGTTTGTGAGCTTTTGAGTAATATTGTAATCTCTATTTGCACTCTCTTTCTTTATAATGAAAACGCATCCCCTTCTTGCCCCGTGGATGTAGATAATTTGCCGAACCACGTTAAACTTCTGTGTTTGAGTTTGTGAGTTTGTGCTATTATTAGTTGATCTGTGTGCCTTCTATCTCGGCAAATTTGTGAATCCTCAGAAGACGTGCAGTACTCCTAACAAATGGTATCAGAGCTTCAGGCTACGCTTGAAGCTCTACGCTTGGGGTTAGGTGGAATAAATCATTTTGGAAGCTCGTTTAGGGTTTCAATTGGAGATAAAAATGGGATCTTTTTGGTAAAGAATTTATCTTTTCTCAGTTTGAATCTATACTTTAGTTTGTTCCGCATTGGTTGTTGGTGTTTTGTGGAAGTTGTCTGGGAAAGAAGGTGTTGAGGATGGTGCGTGAAGACCATTCAGAGTTTGAATATCCACTCTACGAAGATAGATGTGGAGAAGTTTAATGTCACGAATAATTTTAGATTATGAAGATGTGAGGTTTTGGATGCGCTGAATGCGTAAAATTTGAAAGATACTTTGGAATTGAATGACAAGTCGGATGATATAGAAGATAAGGTTTGAAAGAAGATAAATCGAACGACGTGTGGTGTTATAAGGTCTTGTTTAACGCAGGATCTAAAATATGATGTGATGAATGAGACTTCTGCAAAAAAGTTTTGGGAGATTCTTAAAAGTAAGTATTTGACTAAGAGTGTTGAGAACCGCTTGCATTTGAAGATGAGACTTCACCGTTTTCAGTTGAAGAAGGGAATCTCAATTAGTTATCACATGAACATCTACTCGAAGCTTCTTGCGGATTTGACAAATGTGAATGTTATTATAGAAGATGAGGACAATGCATTGTTATTATTGAGTTTCTTATCAGATGAGGAATATAAGACCTTTGTTCTTACCTAATTAATGGGAAGGTGTCTCTTTCGTATAGTGAGGTAACTACTGCTCTTGTGAATTACCAACTAAGAAAGAAAGATAAGGAGTCTACAAGTGACACAATAGCAGAGGCATTGATCGTAAGAGAAAAAAATCCAAATCAGAAGAATAGGAAGTCACAGTCTAGAATAAGACATCCTGTAATTGGCAAAGATCAGTGTGATTGGTGCAATCATTAGAAGAAGGAGTGTCCAAAGCTCAGTGAATGGATGAAGAACAAGCAGAAGGAAAAGGGACAGCAACCATCATCAGAAACAAACATCGTCATATCGGATGGTAATCTTTCTGACTCATCTTTTTATTCACTTTCTATCAGTCTCATAGTTGACTATTCGGAGGAGTGGATATTAGATAGTGGTGCAACCTTTCATGTGTGCCCTAAAAGAAAATGATTCTTCAGTTTGAGAAGCTAGATAGTGGTGTGATATACATGGGTGATAACCGTGCATGACAGATCCTTGGGATAGATAAAATTTACATCAAGATATTTGATGGGATGGTTAAGAGTTATATGGAGTGAGATATGTTCCTTCTTTGAGGAAGAACTTGATCTCCATTGGAGCTTTTGGTTGGAAAGGATCTGAAAGTTCATATTGAGGACATGGTTCTCGAGATTGTGAAAGACTCTTTGATTGTGATGAAAGATGTCAATAATAATAACCTGTACTATTTGATTGGACATACGGTGACATGTGAAAAATTAACGACTGCTATTGATTCGACTAGACTATGACATTGAAAGCTTGGTCATTCCAGTATTGATTTGGAGAAAGGTGCATCGACCTACAGTTTGAAGTCCAATGAATATTTTGATGTGAGCAAGAAGACCGAGGTAAATTTTGACCTCTATTCACCGAGCTAAGGGTCTTTTCGATGAAGTTCACGTGGGCATTATGGGGCCTTCCAAGGAGGCATCATTGGGAAGTAATATGTATTTGATTTCTTTTGTTGATGACTGTTCGAGGCATGTTTGGGTTGCAACTAAGTCCCGTTTGAGTGAAGTCCTAGTAGTCTAAAACATGTTAAAGAAGTGTAACAAAGACAGAAGGATGAAGGTACTCCGTTCTGATTTTAGTGAGAAGTACAAGAGGGATCTGTTTCTGTATTCGTGTCGAGCTCAAGGCAATTGGAGACACTTCATTGAAGAGAAAATCTTGGGGCAATTAGATGGGGTAGCAAAGTTGGAGAACCGTGTCTTGCTGGAGAAGGATCAGTGTTTGTGGTCAAGCGATGGTTTGCAGAAGAATTTCTGGATTGATGCTTTGACATATTCGAGTCACCTTATTAAAGAGTTGTTAACTTCTGTGATAGGAGGTAAAACTCAATTAGAACTTTGGTCTGGGAATGTCACTTTTGATGAGGCTTCAATGAGAGAGCCAATTGACCTTAGCAGGTGGAGAGTTTAGGACAGACTATAGATGTATCACAACGGGTGGAGAATGATGCTACTTCATATTGGATAGAAACTATTCCACATGCTTCAGATCATTCTGTATTGATTGGGATTCCAGCTGGGGTGACACAGATTGGAGATATTGTTGATGGTGATACAGATGATGAGTTTGAGGATCAGGAACTTGATGTTCAGGATCATGATTCGATTGTAGCAGGTGTTATCAGATGCAAATTAGTTAGTGTTGATGATCTTGATGTTGGTGAAGGATTGAAAATTCTTCTAATTGATTGAGGTCGTTTGCGACCATTTAGGTGAACTACGTGAGGCTTGATTCCTTGGACAAAAAGATACGTAAACAGTCGGTTTTTGATGCAGCCGATTTGATGGGTTGATACCGACATTTTGAAGTTTGTTCGCATTCTCATTTCAGTTCCCGACTTATTGTGAATTGAGTCTGTTGTCGTGAATTGTTTTACTTCGTATTAAACGCAACAAGTGGGATATTTGGTTTGGTTGGTGTCGGCTCAGTTTTGGAAAAACTTCGTCGAGGTGGAGAATTGTAGAAATGACGAACACATTGACGAGGTTTAGGAAATTTGAAGCTGGGAACATTTTGAGTGTTGTCCGATCGATCGCCGAGTTTGTCGCAGTCGACCGCAAACATGCACAATGCAGGGAAAATTTCGACACAGGTCGCGGTCGATCTCGGTCGATCGTTGCGGTCGACCGTCAAACCCTGTAGTCGATTTTATGTTTATGTCTTTCTGGTCGGTCGACCGTGACGATTTCAATTGTCGATTGCGAGTCGGATCTGGGCCTATTTCGGTTTCCTGCACTGTTTAGGATTTTTATTTAATATAAATAAAAACACGATTTGTTTAGGGTTTCCGATCATATTGGTTGAGTTTTGGGATAGCTTGAAGGAGATTTTGAGCACAAAAAAGAGAGTTCTTTATGAGCAATTTGTTTGAGGATTTGTGAGAGATTAGAGAGTTTAGTGTGAGAGATTATTTGTGAGCTTTTGAGTAATATTGTAATCTGTATTTTGTACTCTCTTTCTTTATAGTGAAAACTCATCCGCTTCTTGCCCTGTGGACGTAGGCAATTTGTCGAACCACGTTAAACTTCTGTGTTTGAGTTTGTGCTATTATTAATTGATTTGTGTGCCTTCTATCTCGGCAAATTTGTGAATCCTCAGAACACGTGCAGTACTCCCAACAACCCACTCTCCGTGAAACGGTGCAATACACAGCAAAAAGCATGAGCACACAACTCTAACCTCAAAAGGGAAACCGTGTGGCGATCAAATGCTATGTGGTTCAGTAACTTCTAAACACAATATGCTAGGCTGGACATCCTAATTTACCACCGCGCACTTAGCTCTTCCGGAAGGGAAAACCATCAAAAGAAATATGATTCCGAGGATGTGTACAAAAGATCCAACTTTTCTGTAAACCAGTCTCTGGTAGCCACGGAACACATGGAGAAAAGAAAATTTAACTCGACGCTATTAACAGATACAGAGGAAGGTGCCTAACTTTTCCTGAGATCCTAATTCTATCTAAGCCCGACGTAAAATCCTAAAACACACGCCACCAGCCAAGGCAATCAATATGCTTTACTGGGCATAACAAATCCAATACACGAAAATACCCAAATTCTAAAACTAACGTACACTGACAAGCACTCATCAATCCATTCAAACATCTCAAAGATTAAACATCAGACAGCCAGAAAAATCGAATAGTTCCAACACAAAAAAAAAAATACCCAACTTACATTTCTTCACCTTCACAACCTTCCCCGAATGCGACCGCCTCACGTGCCGAACCCCATTCCCGCCGCCAGAAGCCTTTCCATTCTGCGCTGCAACCTTCAGAACCTCCCTCTGCTCAGCCGTCAAAAACCCTTCGTTCTTCGACGACGCCATCACCAATCCGATAACCAAACCCTAATCAATCTAAAACCTAAAATATCAAAACAAATCCCAGATCAACTAGAGTAAATCAAGCAGAAGTGGAGTAATCTAACAGAGCTCAGCTGCCTATTGCTCTAGATCGAGACCGACATTAAAGTTCGAGAACGAGAACCAGCGAACCCTAAGAGAGAGAGAGAGAGAGAGCAAGCAAAAAAAGGATTTTCTCTCTCCGCGAATTTCTTGATATTTTCTCGCTCCGCTGTCCTTTTTCTCTCGCCGGAGCCGGGGGGCGGGGCCTATTTATAGTGGAGAAGACCGGTTCGAGCGCACGTCATCAGGGGCAGCGGTGTAATTTAGAATCGAAGGACACGTGGAGTAGAAACAGGGGATTAGGGTTTTCGGGGGAGAGGGATTACGAAAATAACCCTCGGAGCTGCGGGATCCTTTGATCCTTATCCGTTGCTGTCGTATTCTCGTCACGTCACTGTTGTGGTCTCTTTTGTCTTTGAAATTTTAGGATAAAGGGTGTTGGATAAGCATTATGGGGGATAATTTTGTTTAAATGGAATAAGGATGGGATTAAGCGGTAATTGATATTTGTTAAGTTCAGTATTTCTTTGCGTGCAAGGGATGTTTCGCTGCTTTTGTACAAGGTAAGGTTTTAATTACATATATACGTTGGAAATTTTAGATGCGTGGTTATTAGTTGGTTATCGCAATCCATGTGATTTACTAGGCTGTAGTGAAGTATAAATTTATTGGCTTATTTACATAATTTTATTTATTGTTTTCTTAAGGAAAAATATTTATTGTTGGTTATCTTAAATTAAAAAGAATGCAATTTGTGAAAACGCTTTTTAAACGTGTGGTTTTTTCTTTTTTCTCTTTTTCTTTTTTCTTATTCGATTGAAACCGTGTGCTTTTGGAACCATGAAAATAAAACAATGGACGACTATTATTGAGATTCATGAAGTAAGATTTGATGGGAAATTCAAAGGTCTTACATTTACATGCGTATTCTGCTCCGTAGTCAAATTGTTTTTCTTAGTAATTATATAGAATAAATAGAAGTAAATCAAAAGGGACATAACTTCAATTTTGGTAAATCAAAATAGAAGTAAAATGTTTTTCTTTTTTTCTTTTCCTGTTTTTCCTTTTTTTTTTAGAAAATAAATAATTTTTATTTTAGTTTTAGGATTCACAATTTATTTGCTAAATATAACACATGTGATGATGACAAACGAGCAACAAGCTGCGCCGCTAATTCTTTCTGAATTGCAAAATCCAACCTACGAAACACGTACTCAGCGGGCCCTGCTGTCGCCACATTCTTATTCATGAATTTCTCTACCCTCCTAAGGAACTCCACCGCATCAGTTGTAAGGAAACCAAACGTATCGAAAGCGAACGGGATAAAGTTGTGGTGGCTGTCCTTGCAAGCTTGATCATGTTTGCCCACCTTTGCCTCTGTTGCTTTATCCGCTGCATGCCCAACCTTTAACTCTCCATTACCAAACCCCACCAACGGAGACACCCTTGTGAGATCAACACAAGTGTGCTTCCCCCCGCTCCAACTGTAGACAATAACGTCTGTCGGTCTTAGAGTAGATCTAGTCTCTCCAGGAGGAGTGAGGAAGTTGACTGGCGCTTCCTTCTTTGATGGGATCCTTGCTCTTTGGAGGATATCATACAAGACATCTCTGACTAAGTCTTGCTTGTACTTGAACCCTAACTGCTTCTGACAGTGGATGGCATGCTCTCTAAAAGCATCCATCTGTGTTCTACGACAAACTGGGCACACTGTCCCCTCCACGAACAAAGGAACCAACAACCTGTACCTGAGGATGGCCTGGTACTCCCCCGAAGTCATACGCTATCCCAATCCCTCAATAGGCATGGCCAACAAGAAATCCTGGGCGTGCTTTGCCCGCAGACACTCAACAATAGTAACCTGCCTCTCTGAAAGGCCAAACTCTGTCGATAGATCTCTACAAACGCCACCATAAAAGATGTATGTCAAGTAATGCATTGGTTTTAGGGGGACAGACCCTTTAGTCGTGATTTGAATGGTGATTTGAAGAAGGTCAACCTCAGGTAGCTTGCCTTAAAGAAAGGCATGGGCATAAGTAAAACGCCCACCTAAAGAAACCTCACCACAACCTCTCAAAATGTGGTCTTGGAGCTCGATGGAGTGAATCCGAGAGGCCACAAAAGAAAATTGTATGACGTCGGCCACTGCATAGACCCCTAACCCGCCCGCCTTGATAGGTAAAGAGGCCAGCCTTCGTTGGAGATTCCCGAAGCCTGGGTCTTCGGATGCGACAATGCTCTCGACTAACCTCCGAAGTGCAATATCAAACTGAGTCACCGCCTGAGCAAAGAGCTATGGCAGGCAAGTCCTCAAGGCGAAATACAACTTGGAAAAATCCGCACAAGCCCTCAAAAGGACGAGATCACACTGTGGATCCCTAAAATGGTCCAACACTTCCATTAACTGAGTCACCTTTGCCACTCTCTTTGCTGCTAACCTACCAACAAACCCCTCGTCCATGTTAATTGCTCCATCTAAAAGCCTTACTCCATCACGAGGCCAACTTATATCCAAGAGAAAAAACCCCTCCAGCAAACTCCTAGGATCCGGTGAGGGCAAGAATAATTCAGTTTTGGTGACGATGCGGCATAAACATGTACCAAAAAAGTTGCAAGTGCACAACCGTGTCAAGTTATAGTATTTAAGATATCGATCCCACGAGGAAGGTGTTTTGTAGGAGAAAATATGAATTCGGTTCTTATGTTGTGTGCGTGACAAATAGGAATGATAAGTGAATGTGATTGTGAAGAGATTGAGAGAGTGAAAGTGGTGTGTAAATAGGTGCAAAATGTAAATGAGAGTGAGTATGAACAATAAGGTGAGAAGGAAAAATGAATAAAATCAAGAAACAAATAAAAAAAATGAAGAACAAAATTCTAGAATAAAAGAAAATACAAGAAATTAAAGATGGTGGATTCAATTATAGATATGGGTAATCTACAATTGAACCCACTTCTTAGAAAAGGTGATTCCCTAGAGGGTTCTAGCCTAAAGGCGAATCAAACAAAATAAAAATAAACAAAAGGAAAAACTAAATCCAAGAGGGTTCTAGCCTCAAGGTGAATAGTATAAGAAATTAAAATCTAACTATAAAATAATTTGCAAAATCTAAACTACAAAATAAAATTGCAAGAATTAAATGCACGAAAATAAATCTACTCTATAAGCATAAAATAAATCTAAGGCAAGAGGGTTCTAGCCTCTTGGCTATTTAACAAGAAAATAAAATCTAACTACAAGCATAAAAATAAATCTAAACTAATAAGCAATAAAAGAGAAAAAGGAAAGAAATGCAAACCTTCAAACAATTCTCCATCTTCATCTTCATCTTCATCATCCAACAAAGAGAAGAAGAGAAAAATTTAAAGTGGTGAAAAAATTATTATTATTAATTGCAACTAAAGTTACAATTTTGGAAGGCCTTCTCAATTAAGAGTAGCCCTCCTCTCCAAAAGGAGTTTACAAAAATTTTCACACCTCTAACCCCTCACTCTCTACCCCTATTTATAGTAATCTTCAATGAATATAAGCCATTGGATTTGTCTTGAGCCCCAAGCAACAATCTCCACCATTGAATTTGCTTTTTGTTCTTCTCTAGCCCAAATATCCCAATTGATTTATCAAAATCCAATTACAAAAACCAAGTCCGGTCCAATTTTGAAAATCTGCAACAAAGCCAAATGTGGCCCACTTTTATTTTCAAAACAAAGCATTTTTTTGAGGTCCGGCCCATGTGTTGGAGTTTCAGCAACTTGTGATCTTTTAAAATGCAAATGGCTAAACAAATATATCCGGCCCATTTGATTCAACTCTCAACAAATCCGGTCCATATGCCCAAGTCCACATTTCATTTTGCTTTTGAAATCAAAAGCCAAGTCTTCAAAAAGTTGTCCGGTCCAATAAGCAATCCGGCCCCAAATGGAAATTTCCATTTGATTTTCACTAACAACAACTGCAGTTCTTTTTTTTTCTTTTTTTTCTCTTTTTTTTTCTTTTTCTTTTAAGCAACTGAACAAGAAACTCTCAAATGAGAGAAGAATAAATTCTTTTTATTATTCTGAAATAAACAAAATAAACAATGTAGAATGAAATATTCAACATGAAGAGTTCCTGTTCTACATTGAATCCTACCTTACTGTTGAAAATTCTTCCCCGGATTTTAAACAAATTCAGAATGATATAATCAATAATGTGAATTTTTAAGCATTTCGGGGTGTTCAATAATTCTTGCAACAAGGTAAGGTAGGTATTATTGGTGTCATGCATTTTGTATTTCTTAATGAACTTAGACTCTTGTACTGTGAAGTTTTGTTTTCTAACAACCAATTCTTCTGTGAAGTTCTGAAAATTTGGTTGTTGATTATTCTCCAAGAATCTAAGTTCATCAAGAAAGAGTTCTTCAAAATTTAATTCAAAGCAGCAAATGTTTAACACAGTTTTATTATTCTCAAGGACCTGATCTGCTTCTTCTAAAAACTCTAACTCTTCATCAAAAATTTCCTCAAAACTTAAATCACACTCTTCTTCTTCTTCTTCTTCTTCTGATCTTTCCTGAATGTAGTTTATTTCTAGAGGCTGATTATTTGGTTGGTCCCCTGGATTAAAAATGTTGAGATCAGCAGTCAAATTCCCAAAGGACAGCTTCATTTGACCAGTTCTACAGTTGATGAGAGCATTAGAAGTGGCTAAGAACGGTCGTCCTAAGATGACAGGTGTCTGTCCTTTGGGATTGGAAACAGGCTGTGTTTCCAAGACTACAAAATCTACTGGAAAAATAAAATCTCCAACCTTAATCAGAACATCCTCTAACTCACCCATAGGGACCTTGACAGATCTATCAGCCAACTGTAAGGTGCATTTGGTTGGGTTCAGTACACCTAGACCCAATTGCTGATAGACTGAATATGGAAGCAAATTGACACTGGCCCCTAAGTCTAAAAGCGCCTTATCAATGTGAGTATTACCAATGATACATGAAATGATGGGGGAACCTGGATCTTTACGTTTCAAAGGTATGGGATTTGACAGCATTTCACTGATATTGGCGGCTAAAAAGACTTTCTTTGGGACATTTATTCTCCTCTTCTTAGTGCACAATTCTTTTAAAAATTTAGCATAAGATGGAATTTGTTCAATTACATCTAAGAGAGGAATGTTGACCTTAACCTGCTTGAATGTCTCTAGGATTTT